TTTTCAGGCTATTTCCGCCTATTTAAAACAAAATATAAATTTCGACATTATTTGGTATGTAAAGTAAAAGTATTGTAAAATTGAGTTACTGGGCTCTGATGAGGCCAATCGCTAAATTTGACAAAGTAGCTTACCGACTTGCAAATATTTTAGCAATAAGTAATTAACAAGGGGTTACATATTTTCAGAAAAGTAAGGATTTAACTGCCTACTGTTTTGTGTTATGTTCCCTGCCAACCTCAGAAAGTATATGCACATATCAATTTTGTTTTCAAATAACAAAGTTAAATTTCCCTCGAAATTATGCTTCTACATAAATAGGTGCGTCGGTGTGGTGTGGAATCGATATGTAGTAAAGTCGAGACAATACGAGCCGTAAGACAATATACCTTGCCTCCAGCTTTCGCGTTGGAGTGGAAGTTACTGTCTTTCCTTGTGCGTGCCTTGTACAGAATGTGTAAAATGATCTACAGTGGAGCAGTGTCTATCTGCACGAAATATTTCCGATATATAACTACTCGACGGATTTCGAAGAAAAGTTGTATATTGCACTTGCCACTAACATTTGTCAAGTGAATTTTGCTGTGTCTCATATTGGTAGAATGCAACCGCTGCTCTATAAGAAGCTCAGATTTAACCTAACTATTAATACTTTATAAAACGCCTTTTTGTATGTAAATATTAGTATATTTCCATGACACAAATAAAGATATAATTAAAATATACAACTTTTGTCTGCAATAAGGCCAGTGATATCTCAAATAACGCCTTTTTTATGTTCGTGTACTGCGCATTGGCAAGTGTAACGCAGAAGTGAACGCTCAAGAACAATTGAACTAAGCCTGGGGCTCAAACCAGTTAAACGCTTGTCATTCCTTCTTTTACTAAACGTCGTGGTTTATTTATTATCTATCACGCCTTCTTTGTATTCGGGAGGTCCCTGGTCCGAATTCGGCTAACAGGTTTTAATTACGTATAAGCCCAACATCGTAAATTGATTGACCTCAGCCTGGAAAACAGGAGTTCGACCTGCGGCAGATGCCAGAATTCTTTTTCACCGCCACATCTGAAACATTCCTGCCCACCCTTTCTCGTGTGGGCATTATGGATCATTTACCAGAGGGATAAACCAGCTTGAGCGGCAAGTTGACTGACTAGTCCTTTTCGCTTTACCGCTACGTCCTCCTTTGCCTTGATAATTTTCTTGGTTTGTTCGCAGAACATGTTTTATGTTGAATTACGTAATAGCAGATAAATAAATAGCCTGGTGCGTTTGGATTGACATTTATTCTGACTTTGGTTTTCCGATGTTTTCTTGAGCCTCTCCAAGCAACAGGTGACGATCGCGTCCTTCCGAATGCTTATCTGCTTACCTTTGATCACATTAAACGCAATAGCCTACGATTAAGAATACAGTATGAAGTGTCGTTTTCTGACAAAGAAGCAATCTTTTAGTGAAGCAGTGTATTGTACTTCAGTGAAAGTCTTGGCTAGTAAAATACTGCCACTCCACACACTGCAAGATCTGCAGTACCATAACATCGCCAGCTCTAGACGCAGGCCTACAAGTAGATTATCTTGGTGATTTATACATTTATTACAGGCAGCAAGCATTCTGAATATATCATCTCTCACAACAGCTGTTTGCGACGAACAAATCTACCCCACTCCACGTAAAGATTAATAGGAGAATAAGGCGGAATAAAATTGTGATGCCAACAAAATTCACGGATATAACAGATGTCAAGAATTGGGAAAAAAGTTCTATTACGGGAATATAAACCTCAAATTCAATCCGATCTCTGTGAGTGGTCTGTCAGCCCACTTATTTTTAGACATCGCCGTGTTTCTGCAGTAGACTCATTTGTTCGTTTAAGTAGGCTAGTACTTAAAATTCATCAGCTACTTAACTGAAATAAGAGACACAACGTGCCTCTAGTATAAACATCAGTTGCTTCATGATGTTTAAGGAATGAACCGCTGTTTATTTTGAGAGACATAGGAAACTTATAAAGACACTGTGTGTAAACTGCAGAGTTATTGAATTAAAGCAGGTGGTGCATATAGTTACCAGTGTGCTTTATAGTGTTAAGTATAATCTTTTTAAACTTCAGTTCCTGCCAGAGAATTATAATTTACTGAAATAATGCGAGATAGGTTTTGAGCACATTCAACGTTCTTCTCAAAGTACGGGCCTACTACACGCGTAACTAATTACTTTCATAGTGCGACATGGAATGGCCCGTTCCTTACCGAACGTTTATTGTGCCTCTTGTTTTCAGTGCCCTATTTTTCTCTTTAAAACGTGAAATGCTTTTGTAAACGTTTCCTCTAATCAATAAATCTTCCAGCAAGTATTTTCTTTTATATTTCGTAATAAAAATCCTTTACCCTCCCCGTATTAACCCCCCTCCCAGCCCCCCGTTTCTCTCTCGCCAAACCAGTGATTGACAGTTTGAAAGAACCTCGGAAATTACTTTTCAAACTCTTTCCTATGCTTCGTTTCTTCCCACCCCGCGACGCTCACACCCAGACCCCGAGGCTGATGTTAATTGATCAAAAGAAGCCGGGGTGACAGGTGACGAAACGTTAACAAGAGATTTAGTTTTCTGTACAAAAACCTGAGGCCAGGAACGCTCTGACATGGGATATTAAAGGCAAGTAATGAGCGTGTAGGATACAGTATTATGCAGTTATAAACATTAAAGCAAATACCGTGTAATTAATCGATTTTGCATCAGTTGGTAACTGTTCATACAGCCAATATTTTACATGCTTGTAAAGATTGCAAGTTGCATCTTGTAGTCTGGTAGAAGTTTTCAGACGCTCCAGAAGAATTTGCTGCCTCCATCGTCGATTCTTCAGCTGTATTATATACAAATATACTATGTAGTTCTAGAGTTGAAACATTCGGACTGATAGACACAGTCAGCCTTTCAGAAAACAAGGAGCGATCGAAAAGTCACTCATCCCATTCCTGACACGCGTTATATTCGCAATAAAAAAGTGAAGTACTGGAAATGTCCACCGAGTTCAGCGATGCATGCGTTCACTCTTTTCCTCATGTCTGATGCAAACTGAGGAAGAGTTCTGTGTCACGGAAGAAGAAGAAGAAATAGCAAGATTTCGGTCTCAAAATATTTTGGTGTAGTAAGAATAACTGATTATGTATGACAATTTGATAGGTGAAATTTGTGCAGTGATATATTTAAAATCATCCAGAAATGCTGTTAACGGGAATGGTAGGATACTAAAATTTATAATTTAGAATAATTTCCAACATTAAAATGTTTATTATCCTCTCAGTTTTGCCAGGGATCCAATTATTATTTCTTAGTACTTAATATTTGTCACATGATTGAAACGTTTATCGTCTATTCTAATATTATGATCTTGTACTTCGTTCTGGTGACGAGACATTGTGTATATACTCTATTTTCTCTGCGTTTGTTGTAGACGAATCTCTTTACTAGCGCCTAATCACAACTGACGTAAAAAGGGCGCATTTCGATTATATATGGCGTCTATCTGCTGTATAAGGTATACGTAGTGCGTTTTAAGTGGCATGGCAAGGCTGTAGCAAACGTTGGACAAAGCTTTCGACCACACATCGACTTCAATCGAATTCTGTCAGATAACTTAAAAATAGTGATAAAAATTAAACCGAACTCAAAATTAAGTAAGATTTGATGTTTTCACGGCGGTGAGTCTGATGATGGCCGTCTTCTTGGTTGTTGCACCCTGTAGTCTGGTAGAAGATTACGGACGTTTGAGACATCCTTGCTGCCTCCATCATCAGGGCGATGAGTACTTACTAGACTACACGGTGCAACAACCCAGAAGACAACCATCTTAGAACTCAAAATTGCTCAACAAAATTTAGAACACGTGTCATACCAATGTCGATCGCAATGGCTGAAGCAGTTGTGAGTCCTGTTACATGCGTACTAATGGATATGAAACTAATAGATGATTTTCTTCTTTCTTTTCTGAAACGCATCTAAAATAAATATGCAGATTTGTAGTGATAATCAGTAACATATTGACAATGATTAAAGATTTGAGATGAGCACGATATAAAACACGCATGGAGAAAACAATAAGTGTAAACTATCTCATGAACAGGAGACTAATAGTCTCAGACTACATGATGTTTTATTATAGTGAAATATTCTGCGGTTGAGAACTATGTTGAATTTTCTCAGATGAAGTATAGTGAAAAGTCTTGTTTATTGACTGCGGTGAAATTTCAAATTTCGTGACAGGAATTTCTTTAACATGGAGCACAACTATTGACTGCCCAGAACACCTTGCCAGGGATTTTAGAATGAGCTACCAACATTTTTAAACGCTGTCGCTACTTGGTCACTGATCAGATGCGACAACCACTAGCAAGAGGGAAGAACAAATACGATTCCTGTGCTGCCATCTACCAGGTTTTACACAAACTTCACAGTGGAGATTGCCGCCCTGTCCATTGATTTGCCAAGTGTAGAAGCCAATGCCAACAACACGATGGCAAAACTTGTATTAATTTGTGTATAGTTTTAATCTTTACGTTTTTTGATAGCAGACGGAAAGTCAAAAGGCTTTGAACTGAATGGCAGCAAACATTACCACAGTTCAATCTGTACTTAATTTCCTCATGAATGAAATTTTGATTTGTTACTGTCGCTCAGAAATATATGAAGTTTGCCAATTTTCGAAGGACCCATTAGTCATCCTTATATCACGATTTTGCCCTACATTCTGGTGACGAGACGTCAACATATACCTGGTTGTCTCTGTGTTACATTAAGATTAATAAAAAATTCCATTACTAAATTGTACTTTTGAAATTTTGACAAGTGCTGGGCCCAGAATATAAACTGTATCATGGCAGATTATGTTCTTCACAATTATGAGAATGGTTCTGAAGTTTCATGTACGGTATAAAATTGAAACGTTTTAAGAAAAAGTAAAGTATCGATATCACGATTCAACCAGTACTGAATTCTAGCATCCCTGGTTCGTGTGCAGTTCACCTTTGGCGTTTGGCATTCTAAGGCTGAAGAAATTTGTGGACGTTCATTCCGGCTTTGGTGCTAGCAACATTCGGATTACGTTTCGAGTAATGGAGTGATCGTGTGATGCTTGTCTCTGTGTAAGTTATTTGATATAAGACTTGACGAGAACTATGTATTCAGTTGAAACTTTTCGACATAACCTAACATTTGATAGATCAGAATAATTGTAAGATAATTTTGTTTGTTTTTTATTTCAGATTAGAACGTATTTGGAAATTGTGTACCAATTCTGACTTTGGAAAGGACAGTCTGGTTGTTAAAAGTTTAGTCAAACCGAACCTTTAAGCTCATTTTAAATATGGCAGATAGTTCGAACCCACAAAGTGCCGGAGAAGTAGAAGAAATAGCAAAGCAGGTGCCTAAAATAAAGCATGATTGGTACCAGACTGAGAGTCATGTGGTCATTACCATTTTAGCAAAAAATGTGAAACAAGATGAAGTGAAAGTGGAATTTGCAGAAGAAGCTGTAAGTTTTTCTTCAAACCAAATGTCGGTACTGAACAGTTAGTAATGGATTGCTTAATCCTTTGAAGCTGAAGCTAATGTAAATGTTATTTAGGAATTCATTCTGTGCCCCAAAGAAGACATAATGCTTCTCCATTATAAAGATCAATTGGTTAATGCCTTTTAAGAAAATAATTGCAATTTAC